CTGTGGAGGGCAGTGTCACTGGCCCTCATATGTGGGATCCAAACTGGGGCCCTCTGGCGTCCCAAGCCAGTTCTTAACCATCGCGCCACTCAGCCGGCCCTCTTTACTCTTTTATCTCTTCTTTTTGTTAACTTATTTGTGTTTGAAGTCCGGTTTAGTGAGATCTAATTCCCATACTAGAAACTCCCTCCTTTTAAGGTATAGAGTTCTAGGACTTTTGGCAAACACATACGGTTGTGTAACGATCCTATCGCCACAGTCTACTGCCTGGCCCCACGGATGGACTGCTGAAGCTGCTTGTGGCTTTAACACCTCAATCAGGTCATGGAACACCTCTGTTCCAAACCCACCCTGGGCTACCCTCACTCAGAGACACAGCCAAAGCCTTCACATTGGCCTACGGAGTGCTATACAATCAGGGCTGCGTCCTCTCTGGCGTCCTCCACTCCCCTTTCCAGCCTGCTCACTGATCCGGCCACTTTGGCTTCATCCCCTTTCTGAGACACACCAGGCCATTCCTGCCTCAGGGCCTTTGCACTGGCTCTTTCCTGGCTGGAACACTTCCCCAGGGGATCCAACTGGCACACTCAAATATCATTCCTGGCCTCTCTATTTAAAATTGCATCCCACTTTCTCCCCACCTGCATTACCTTAACAGGTGTGTGTGGCGAGGTAAGAAATAGGTAGGCACATCATGAAGGAGATACAACTGGGACAGAAAAGAGTTGTCAGATATGAAGGAGTTTGGGTGCAGTGCAGCCACTAGAGGGCTCTGAACAGAGCGGGACAAGATCCACCTTCTCTTTCCAGGATCCCAATGCCTCCCATGTTGAGAAAAGGCTGAGGGCGGGCAGGGCAGAAACAGGGAGACTGGCATCCAGGCAAGAGACATGGGTGCTTGGACCAGGCTAGGGGCAGTGGAGGTGGGAAGAAGGGAACAGATCCTGAATGGATCTTGAAGGTAGAGCCACCAGCACTTGCTGATGGATTGGACATGGCCCTGGGCTTCCTTAAACCCTCAGGAACCCGGCAGTGCATTACAACTTCCTCCCACAAAGGGAGTCCAGCTCATCTGGTTTTTACCAGTCTCCCCACTTGTTTCCCATGTTTACCAACCACCCACCTGCCCCAAGGGCAAAGCCACACACTGACTCCATTTTCCCACCATTTAATTAGGGGAAAAAAATTACATGAACAAAGGAAAACTCATGCAACAAAAGAGGAGAGAATTGGGTTTCCGGGACCATGAGACGGGGCCAGATTCCTCAGAAGAGGCAGAACAAAGGAGTAAGGCACTGCCGCCTCGGCCCCTTGGGGCAGGTGCAGGACAGGGCAGCTGAGGATGAAGGGGTCCAGGGCAAGTGCAGACAACACCGCGGGAGTTTGGCAGTAGGGCCGGGAGGAGAGGTCTGGGGCCCCTAGACCCAGGTCAGGCCCTGGCGCATGCCTGGTAACAGCTCTCCAGGTGCTCAGAGAGAACGGGGCCCTGTGAGAACATACAATCCAACTCCCAAGAAGTTTCGAGGGGACCCCTTGGCACAGCCACAGTCCAAGGGCAGCTTCGGGGGCATCAACCCACCCCAAGTGCTGCTGGTGCCGAGGCCCCCTTCTCGGAATGGGTGGGGCCAGCCATGGCAAGGGTGAGGCGCCAGAAGCTAAGCCAAGGCTGACAGTGTCATGAAGGAGCCAGGACGACTCAAGGAGGGAAGGTGAGTGAGGCTGGCAAGATCCCGGGAGGACACATATTTATTTACACATGGAGATGGTGAGGTGGAGATAAATTAAATAAATAGGTGGTTGGGGGTATAAATAGCAAGGAGGGCAGGGGCTGTCACAACCCTGGGCACAAGGGCAAGAGGCTGGGGGTATTGCTGCTGCTGGGGTGGGGGGTTTGGTCCTGTCACCCTCTCCCCGCCTGCAGGGCCCAAAGCAAGGCACTAATGAAGGGGACCCAGGTGTGCCAGGGGCATAGTGGCCCAGTGACCACACCCGTGCCCCCAAATCCCGGGCTCAGCCCTGAGCCCCAGGCGAGACCCCACCCCCATTGATGGGAGGACGGCCCAGGACTGAGCAGGCCCCTCCTCACCGGCTCTGCCACCCTTAGCTGTTGCTGGTCATGAGGCTCATGATCTGTTCCAGCTTCTGGCGCAATTTATGCTTCCGACAAGAGGCGTCTCGGTCCAACGCGGTGAGAACCTGGGGGTAGGAGGGCCCCAAAACTGTGCTCCAGGGGAGGGGCCAGCTCCTCCTGGGCAATGAGCCCCCCCCCAGCTTGAGCTGTTCCCTCCCTCTCAACTTAGCACATCCCTCCTCCCCATGGGCCCTGGGCACATGGGAAAGGCTCCAACCTCTCACCTCTGAACACACCCTCCAGCTTCTCCTTGACCCCAAATCCTCCTCCAGCTGCAGAATTTTCTTCTCTGCACAGCCAGAGTGCAGCCCCTCCCAATAGTGGTCTGGAAATCACGGTCACTGATTTCTCCTTCCCCATCCCCTCCTAACTACCCCCTTCACACCTCTCTTGTCCAGCTCTCCATGATCTGGTCGGCAAAACCAGCCAGTGTCCTCAGGCCCCTCTCCCTTGATGAGCAGCAGCACCTGACAGCCGATCACTCCCTCCTCCCTGACCCCCCCCCGGGGGGGTCCTCACACAC